CCAATTCATCCCAAAGGTGATCAGTAGGGTTGATGTCAAGGCTCTGTGAAGGCCACTCAAGTTCCCCCCACCCCAAACCCTTCAAACCATGTCTTTATGGAGCTGACTTTGTGTACAGGCGGACAGTCATTCTGAAACAGGAAAGGGCCTTCACCAAACTGTTGCCACAAGATTCAAAGCGCATGTCTTTGTTGCTATAGTGTGCAATACAAAGAGGAACTAAGCTTGCTTCTGCTCATGTGGTGTCTGCATGCTCCCTCGTTGATGTTGACATCTTCTCCAAGTCTCCTTCTGGGTTTGCCATCTTGATTGGCTGGGCCGTAATGATGTAATGCCCACGCGTGCTCACAGGAGTTCATTCATCATAGCAACAAGGCATGCTGGGAAACTATAGTGTGTGGTACATGCACAGCTCAGTGTAGATTTTACAGAAGCTTGCCTGCAGGAAGGTAAGAAGGTTTTATTACTTGTTTTTTTTTTTATTGCAGAAGAGGAATACTTACTATAGTCCTCTCTTCTGCAATAATACAAAAAACATTCCTTCTCGCAAGTTCCGTTTTAACAGTACTCTTCCCTGTGAACATCTGAATGCAATAATTTAGAGGGGTGTCTACACATTTTTGGCCCTATAAAGTATATCAAATAAGGCATCCTTTGTATCTCATCTGGAGTTCATGGGCCTTCTACATTCATACTGGCCAATCATAAACCGACCTAACCGGATGCAGGGTATGCTTCGTAGAATGTAACTCTTCCGCCAGATAACTGTTATTGTACAGATGACTTTATCAGGAAACTTGAACACGCAGAGCTCTTAAAGTGACATTAAACCCTGAGATTTTGTTAACATAAAACAATACTGTAATGTGCGCCTTTCCGTGTGCAGACACCTGATGCCATCTGTCTTACATGGATCTTCCCAGCTGCACTCCTTATTGGGAAAAAAGGGGGTCATTCACATGGACTTTTTTGTTTATATGGGTTTCACTGATGTTTTCCTCCATTATGTCTCCACCTTATACTCCTCTCCTGAAGCTAGGATCTTTACCTCCACGTCTCTCTCGCCCCCGTTTAGACTACACAGAGGTACCAGACAGGGATGCCCCCTGTCCCCGCTACTCTTCAACATTGCCATAGAACCCTTGTCCATTTCATTAGAGTCCTCCCCCCTGTTTACTGGATATCGGAAAGGATTGCATGAAATATGATCGGAAGAAACTTTGGGACATGTAAAACCCTTAATGTTCTGTTTTGGCACCTCCTACATTGTTTTATTCTTTCGCATCGTGTACTGTATCCTTTGAAACTTCAATAAATACTACATGCTAAAAAAAAAAAAATCTGAGGGTTTAATGTCACTTTAATGATACAAGAATATCTTAAAACAGCAACAAAAAATATGAAAAAGCAGTTCAGTGATTAACATTCTGAATGGTGTCAATAGAGCCAAGGGCGGCCTTCGAGGTGCACTTATTTGTAATATTCACAATGGTCTCATCTCTGCTAGATTCTGGGAGGCTGTGAAGGGAAACAGTCTAAATATTTCTATTAAAATTCATTGACTTTTTTTACCCCCTTTTTGCGTGTTCTTACTAGGGATGCACGATACCGTTTTTTCGGTATCAAGTACCGATATTTTTTTGTCGGTACTCACCAATACCGAAAGTACCATTAAGGAAGCCAGGTGGCGTGTAATGACTTGCCATCTGGCTTCCTGATTAGCCGGGAAGTCGGGCGGCGTCTAAAGACTCGCCACCCGGCTTCCTGATTAGCAGCAAAGCCGTCTCCATGCTTCCTTATCACCAGGTGACAAGAAAACATGGGGCCAGCTTTCTGTCCGATCTGGAAACCGGGTGCTGTGTAATGACGCAGCGCCCGGCTTCCTGATTGGCTGGGGAGCCGGCTCCATAACCAGGCTTCCTGATTGGCCAGGAAACTGGCTCCATGCTCCCTTTGCACTTGGTGTAATGACTTGCTGTCCGGCTTCCTGATACCGGAAGCTCAAGTATCGGGCTAGGCATCGGAGCATTTGTACGAGTACTCACCCAAATACTCGGCATCGGCACGGATACGAATATCGGTATTGGTGCATCCCTAGTTCTTACTTATGTGTGAAGAACAGACTCACACTAACGCTTCTCTCCAAAACTTTAATACAATAAGTTGGTCTACAATTGAATACAATTTATTTTTCGAGGAATAAAAAATGTTTGTTCTTTTCATTTTTTGTTGCTGCCGTCTGGAGACGGCAACCCGCAGATGCTGCAGTGCCGTCCGTCCGTTTTTTTACTACGGGCGGACGGCAAGAGGTTAATGATAAAGAATGATAAAAATAATAATAAAAAGCCAGGAACCCTACAGGACCCATGATGATCCACCCAAAGGGCAGCAAGAGAAAATGAAAAGAGAACACTTTCAGACTTGCTTGATTTGTGTGGATAGATGTTAAAGGAGAACTATGAGGTGAGTGCTTTTCACATAGTTCTAGCCGACCTGTGACAATGAGACTGTCACAGGTCGGCTCAGTAGATCGGGAGGTGAGCGAACACATACCGGCGTTCGCTCGCCTCTCGATTCTGTCCCAGCTCTCTGCCGTGACAGGGGAGGGGCTGGATTCCCCCCTCCCCGCTCTGATCCACAAACACAAACAAACATCATGCTCGTCCTTTACAGTTCTTAATAAAATAAAAGCGCTGAAAGGAATAATAATACCAGCAGCTGCACCTCAGCATTGTGAAAATAAGCAAACTGAGTGTCAGTATTTCCTGAATTGTTTTTCTTTTCATTAAAATGATATTTAAAAATAGTTAAACTGAATATCAAAATGCGCTAATTAAAAGCTACCTTAGAGTAAAACTCTGGTACATTCCTGGTTGGACGCGGCAGAAAGTGATGCACACATTTTAAAAGGTCAGAATTGCTCACTCCCGGGATGGACTACAATCTCATGTTTAGTTTACTCATTTGTACTGAGATTGTAGTCGATCCCGGGAGCGAGCTTGGAGCGGTGACGACTTTACAACATACATAGGGACCATGGGGAACAAAAGTAGCCCCCCTCCAGAAGGAAGGACAGTGTCAGCACCAATTCAGAGATGATTGGAGGATCTACAGCCGAGTGACACACAAATAAGATACATTTTTGTTGATAGTTAAGGTAATTGAATGTATTTGTAACATTTAAATCCTGAGTTTAGTGTCACTTTAAATCAGCTAAATACATTCCATGTGCATCAAAACAAAAGGCTAGAGAGCTTTAGGTCTGACTCAAAAGGGGGTGTGTTGGACCTCTGCAGAGAGACCACTGCTTCCACAAAGAGAGCAAGGGTCCTTTGCAGCAGCATGCTGGCACGCGACAGACTTTTCTAAACAGAATTAACTTTGAAGAACTCCGGCCAGAAATTTTATGAAACCTTATGGTGAGGGCTACCCCCGCACTGCAAGGGTTAAATGATTATTTTTGCCTAGGATAAAAAAAAAAAGTTATACTCACTCGATCCTCGGAGCTGGCAGTGCTCCCTTTAGCCTGTCTCTTCCTTTGCTGCAGCAATGGTATGTCCCTCAGTGGCATGTCCTATAGAGTCTATTGAACATGAAGACTCGGGGATTCCAAGACCGCTGCAGTGGCATTCCAGGTTACCGGTCTATGAGCCGGATGGGTCAGAGGACTGTGAGCATAACTTTTGTTTTTCACCCTAGGCAAAAACGAGCAGTAAAACCTTGCAGTGCGGGGGTAGCCTCACTGTAAGGGTTAATACAATTTCTGCCTGGAGTACTGCTTTAATTCGAAACTCTGGAAACTAGCCAAAATCTAACCTTGCATTTGCCCTGATTTAGACATTTAGTAATGACAATCTACACACAGATACTTCTAGATAATTGCCGGCTTTGTATAGCTATTTTTCTTTTCTTCCCCATTCTCACAGTGGCCATTTTTACTAAGGGCAGATTACTATATCTCCCTTTACTTCCTGGAACTCATGTGCCTAGGACAGTGGTGGCAAACCTATGGCACGCGTGCCCACATTGACACGGTCTAATGAAATCGGCGTCTAAAGAAATCGGCGGGCGGGCGGGCGAGCAGGAGGAGAAGGGGGACGGAGCGGCAGGGGGTGGAGACAGAGGGAGATGGGGGTGGAGATGAGAGGACGTGAGGAGACGGGGACGGAGCAGCATGAGACAGGAGGAGATGGAAGAGGCCTATGAAGACAGTAGGCAAAGGCAGAGACCGCAATGGAGGAGGCGTCGCCAAGGGGCCAGTCGAACGGTGAAGCTGTCTGTGGGGGGCTTTGCAGCCTGCAAACTCCCCCACAGATCCTGCACAGCCCCCCTGAGAACCGACAGACTGCAGGGTCTCTGCTGGATCTGTGGGGGGCTGTGCCAGATCTCAGGGGGGCTGTGCAGGATCTGTGGGGGGCTTTGGAGCCTGCAAA